AAGAGGGAGACCGCTCGTCTGTAAGAGAGTTCTAGATGTATGTGCCATGTGTAGTTGACTAGTAGCGTACATCAAAGACATTTCGAAATCTCAGTGTTTGTTATGTAGTTGGTCAGGTTGTGAACGAAGTTTTGAACCTATGAATATTGCTTTATTGTCTTGTTTTGAAAGTGGTTCGAAGAGTGTCTGAAGGTGAGAATCAAGGCCCGCCTAGATTGCAACGATTAGGCGTTTTGTTGTCGCTCATTGAAGACCCACGTTCGATTCCCGGAGGCGAGGGAGGGAGGGGGGGGGGCTGGGGGTTTATAAATTACTGGGTCATGCTTTCATTCGGTGGTAAATTTTGAATCTTTGAATATGGCTTTGTTGTCTTGTTTCGACTATGGTTCTATCTTGTGTCAAAAGTTGAAATCCACGGTCCTCCTGTGCGCTTTTCTGTTGTAGGTAAAATTTTTGTGTTAATAAGACCCGCTTATCTAATGAATACAGGCGTGTGTGGTGTCACGGTTTTGGGCACTTTGCTGTCTCATGCAGGAGACCTGATCTTGATTCTAATGTGGGAAAAAGTAGTAACTAATAATTTAGTGCCTTAGTCTTTTTATTTTTGATACGTTATATCCCTGACAGCCCAGTTAGTCTTGACAAATAGGGTCGAAGCCCGCCTCCTAAATTATCTAAATCGTGTTGATTTAGGGAGTAAAAAAACACAATTTAAAAATGAGTTCTATCAAATGACAATGTATCGTCAACCAGCGGCTGACATCAAAGACATATTATCTACTGTTCACAGTCCGATATGTACCCCGGCTAGCTAGTCGGGTAGTGAAGGAAGTTTTGAATCTATGAATACGGCATTGTTGTTTTGTTTTGACAGTGGGTCGAAGAGTGACCTCAGGTGATATCATGACTTCCTTAACCGTTTTTGTATGTGGGTAATTGTTTGTTTTCTGCTGGAACAATGAACCTTCTCAACCCGAGTTGGTCCTGACAGTCAGGGTCGAATCCTTCCTCCAAAATGGTCTAAAGTGTGTTGATATCGACGTTAAAATGCCTACATTGAAAAAGTAGTTCTCGTAAAAGCGCCAAGTGTAGTCAACCAGTCAACCAGCGAATTGCGTGTCCAGTAACAACGTCTGTTGATCATCCAAAACATATTGACAGTGGCTATAGATCTATAGCTGGTCTAGTCGTGAACGAAGTGTTGACTCTATAAATATATGGCATTGTTGTCTTGTTTTGACAGTGGGTCAAAGAATGACTGGAGGTGAGAACCGGATGTCCCTGACCGCTTTTGTGAAGTGGGCTTTTGTCTGTTATTTCGGTTTTTAAACCAACGAGACCCGCTCTTCTGAAAGGGGGGCGGGGAGTGGGTTGAAGTGAAT